TAGCTTCGCATTAATCACTATTAAAATGTATATTTGATTGAGGACAAATGACCGGCATTGAGAAAATTAATATATTCTATGGGTTATATACAGGGTGTTCAAATAGGTGGGGACATAATTTACGTAGTGATTCCTTGGGTCCTTGAGAGGTGGAATAACATTATTCCTAATTTTCAATCGATATTTTCATTCGGTTGTTTGTGCCAACAGATACGGAAGTCTACCCGATTCAACTCCAAAACTACGCCCGTAAACACTAATCTTACATAACGCTACACTTACATATCCTGCCGCACCTCACACCAGTAGACTTAGACCCACGTCTACCGGATACGTAAATAAGACATCGTAGTTTACGATTTCCAGCTTGAATAATTGGCTTTGCAATCAAACGCCTCTGAGATCAGTTGTTGATGTAGGAAGTTATAACTGCAATAAAACAGTTTGTGGTCGCGAGGCGTTAGTGTGAAATGCAGGTCTGCTGCAAATGAGGTATTGTGTTTGTGTCTCACTAAGCCGTAATCAGGTGTAGGATTTGTAGGTTCAGTAAAGGCTTAGACTATTGAAACAACGTATGTATCCAATAGTCAATAAAGAATAAAATAATACAAAATTGAACCAGTAGTTGTGGTAAACTATCGAAACACTGATTTGAATCTGGATTATAGGCCTATTGTATTATTTAAATGAAAGTATATTATATTTGGGATTTTATAAGCATCAGGTCAATTCCTGGGATGTATTTGTGTAAAAGGGAATTAAATGAATCATCAACTCACAAATCGTGAAGCTAATTCAAGTTTTGCTAAGAAATACCAGAGATTTTGTTGTTAAGTGATTGATAAATTCTAGTCCAAAGGAAATTTCATGTCTAAATGAAAGAATTTCACTCGTTGTCGTGTTTGTATGTATTTGCAAACACAGTTTAAAACAGTGGCTTTCGCAATGCGTAAATATTACAGCTGAATGAAACAATATTTTTTACACACCGGTAATTCAAGTGCTCAGTAGCTTCTTCTACACATCAAAATGTAATTGGGGACAATCTTTTACTGAGCTTTCACTTTGATTATTACAATATTATACATTACCATTCTCTTTTAAAACATCACAAAAAATGCTTGTTGAAATTGCAGAATTTTAGGTTTTGAACAAATAATCCGGTTCAAATACATACTCGGCTATGTGTGACTATGGTACGATGCACTCTAGTGCATAACACTATGCCTAATTAATTCTCAGACATCAACTTCGACGTCTTTATTCCGCTCTATTTCTCCTAATTTCTTCCTACACTAGGTGAAAATTGTGCAGAATTCCACTAACGACATTATCTAAGAGGAATCCACGTTTGCCAACGACGGACATCTGCAAAAGCTCTCCCGGTGAAAACAGGATGGTAATCACATCTCATCAACTACCGTCCAATCTCCAGCTTCGTACTCCTTTCGAATTTGGAGGAAATCGCTTTCGACCGTTTTAATCGATGGTTTCCTTCGTCGACTACGTTAGTTAGAGTAATTCCCCAATTGAAACTCGTGTAGCGGGTTCGTTTAGTTTGGTGTTCGGAGGAATTTTTGTTTTGAATTTTTTGACTGCCGATTTGACATGTAGAAATTTTGGGGGATTCCATTTTGGATTTGGGTGAAATTTAAGGAATTTAGTACTAGTTAGTTTGGAATAGTGTAATAAAGAATATCCGACAGAAAACACATCAATTTACTTTAGCAAAAATCTATTTCGTTATTATAAATACAGTATATTAGCTTTACGAGGGGACATATGTTATGAAATATAAACAACTACATAGTAAAACTGAAATTCACATTCGTCAGTAAAATATGGTCTCTTTATAGGGTATATTGAACACTTTCTGTATTTCTTTAATACTCTCCGTGGGAAAAAATAATTGGAAAAACTTATATTTTTCACGAAGAATTTGCCCACTTCAATTAATTTTCCTCCCACAGAAAGTGTCACAATGTCCTATATTGTGAAATTCTTTTCCAAGTGTTGCCCAACTAATCCCTAGTTTAGCCAATTGGCAGGCTCAAAATCCCACGTATATCTAGCAACGCCTACGAAGACACCCGAATTTCAAAACTGACGACATAATCAAGTAGAGTGGGACGGAAAGTTGGTAGTCGCCGCACCAACGCACGCCAAAACAATTTAGGACCAATTTCACTTATTTTAATTTATTAAAAATGATCTACGGTAATGTATTTCACTTACGACGGTTTTAAAGTAGCAGTTTCAGTTCAGAATTGAAAAGTTTCACATAACACCAAACATAACGTACATAACATAACATATAACATAACATAACGTATAGTATAACTTAGCAATACAGGTAACGGACCAATGTGGTTCAAAGATTGAAAGAGAAGAGGTAAAATTGTAATGCTCCCGACTTCAGCTAATCAGCTGTTTAATTTAATTGTTAACGATATTAGTGCGATTAGTGATTGGTACAATGAGTCGTTGCATTAATGTCAGTGTCAACGAGAGGTTATAATAAAAAACATAACCTCTCTTAAGTTACTGATTAATAGTAATTAAAAACCGGTCGTAGGTAAAGTAGTGTACGCAACTCGCGTAAATAGTATTTACAACACTCGTAGAAGTTTGTACGGCACTCGCCAAGGCTCGCACCTAAAAATAGAGACAAAATAGAGTCTTAGATAAAAAAATTTACAGAATCTACAAAATTATTATCCACCGCAGAAATCTGTTAGTTTTGTTTGCAAGCGCCAAGGTTCCCAAGGTTGCCCGCTATTAATATAACCGCCTATGAAAAACTAATGAATACCGGGGCAGGGCGCCGTGGGTCGGACCAGCTGTGGGTTTAAGCATTCATAATCAACGGCTTAAGTCTGCAAGACTCCCGTCAGTAAAGTGCTGGACCTCGAATGGTGACGTCTTGGTCAATATGTAAGCAATCAAAGCATTACTAGATTTGTGTTCGTTTGCAAAGGTTTTCTAAGCCACTTTGTTAACTAATTTGTATTGAGAAGTGGGATTTATTAAGATTTTTTTTTCAAATTGTTTCATTTGAGGTGTTTCTTGAGTTATTAACCAAAAGTCTAACTATATGAATTTAAATTGGATAAACTATGACGCTTAAATTAAGTAAAGCTTTTTGTCTGGGAATTCGTATATTATTTGTCAACTAATATTAAATTACATTTTACAAAAGGTTTTATAAACAAGCCCTATTTATGCAGGGATTTAATTAATTTTACATAGACGTTTTTATTAATTTCCCCAACAGTTAGTGCCTTGGAGGATACTTCCAGCAGACTTTGCTGTGTTGCGGGTCGAAATGTAAACTTGCAGGCGTTCAATAAATTTGAGGACAACGAAATTTGATCTGGTTTGATTCTAGTGGCGAAATATAGACTGAAAAGAGATCCAGATTTTATTGTTATACTATTTTAGATGTATTAAACTTCTAGAATAGGATGATTTTTAAGCGATCCGCAAACACTTCAGCAACACTTCAAAAATGTTATTTAAACGTATACTACCCACAGTTGCAATGGCTTTTTAACTGTTCACAAAACGAATAGTTAGCATAACATAATGCTTAACATGTATATGTATGTATAATGTATATGTATGTTATGTATGCATAACATGGAGCTTAACATACATTTTAAAATTGTATGAAACTTTATACACTAATCCTTTAATCTATGATTATATTTAAGTGAACGAGCTAATAATCTGTCAACTAGCTGGTCGACCCATAAAAATATGAATTCACCCTTTTAATCATAATCAGATAAAATTGTGTAATACTTTGTACTAGAGAAGAAAATACTAAGAAAATTCGACCAAAAGTATGTATTGTGCGAACTTCTCTATTTTCACCCCATGCTGTAAATAAAACATGTGATTGGAGTTTCTTCCATTTGTTTTGATTTTCTGTTTACATTTTGTTGTTATTTCTTCACCAACATGGCAACCCATATAAGGCCAATGTTAATTTTAAATTTTAAATTTAATTGTTGTGTTTGTTTTTAAGCCTATTTTAAATTATAAAGGGATTCTGCACATCCACAGGCAAATATCTTTCTAACAGTATGCGTAGATTTTCCCTGCGATGCACAGGAACTGAGAAAAAATGTTTTCCATAAAAATGCTTCTGTATTAATATATAGAATTATCCCCATGTTAAATCTCCATAGGAAAGGTTGAATTTCTATTTTTGACCCAATTAACATAAATATTCTCAAAATACAAATAAAACCTGCATACTATCTTTACACAATTTTTGTGTAAACTACTATTGTATGACTATAATGGTGTATACTATTATAATATGTATACTAAAGGACTGATATACACTTTCTTTTGGTACAACCCGCATGTAAATCGGTCCAGTAGTATGGTCAGGGTGGCTGTCATAAGCTTAACAATTTTGACCCATGTTATCTACATAAGAAAAGTTTAATTTTTTTTTTTTGCCCCTATTAACATAAATATTTTTAAAATACAAAACCTGCACATATATGTAAGATAACCTTTCTTTTGGTACGACCCGCGTACAATTTGGTCCAGTAGTATGGTCAGGCTACCTGTCATAAGTTTTGCCAAAGATTTTTAACTTATAAGATAGCTTTAATTTCTTAGAATATAGTGGTAAAATATAGAAGTATATTTTACTATATTTGTAATACAATTTTAATTACCGTTGTTAAATTAAATTACACGAATAACAAAGGCCATTACGCTGATTTTTCATTTTCCCAAAATATAGCATACTGAAGAATTTAAATTTACAGTATACTAATATTATAGGTACCGGTACTCAACTTTAGGGTTAATATTCAGTTACATCCCTATTTAAATTTGTGAGTGATAAATATACTTCATCCCCAAGAAGTAAGGAATAAAACAGGTCCACACTCAAGAAACCATTGATTGACATTTCATACTTCTTCACTCCTGCATTTTGATTTAGAAAAGTAGTCTTATTATAGTATTGTTTACAGGATGCGGCTTTTCAAGCGGCGGTGCTCGGATCCCTCGCCCCAGCTAGTGAGTCTCTCACCCATCAGCCAGGAGGATGAGGAGGAGGTGGAGGAGGTCAGACCCAGACAGACCCGGTCGGGTCAAGCATCACCCGCCAGGACACCAGTGTCCGGCTCACCCAAGGCTTATAGGAAAGGTAACAGTGTTTATCAAATTGGATTTTTGGCTCAACGATTCATTTTACTTTGTATACCGCTTTCTAAATAAAAACTAACCCCAACTGATTTAATTCTTCGAGCACATTATTATAGCAAGTGAAGATCCGTTTAGACATGATACATCTAAAATATCACTCCTGTTGGAAACAGAAAGTTCTTGCTGTATACAACGGGATTTTTCATTTCTCTAGAGCGGGATGAAATGGGACTTTCTCGACCCAGTAAGCGGAATTTTGATTATGGTCACGTTTGTCTACAAACGGTAATGAGGAGTTAACAGAGAGATCCAGCAATGGTTTAATATTGTAGGATAACACATTATACAGGTTTTCATATAGAACAATAGCTGCTGAAATAAATTTAAACTTCTCCAAGGAAATCAGCATTAAATCAAAATAGCATTGAACTAAGCCTCACCAATTTAAATCAATTTTATTTTCCAAATGGGCTAAAACATATTGAAGAGAGTAAATAGCCAATATTTGTTTACGTTCCCCAATTTTGTTCTAATGATATTTCTCTTTCAGGGCTATCAACATGGGGTAAGAAGGTTGGACGTAAATGGGACCAGTTGAAGCGAAGTGATTCCTCAGAGTTGTTGGCTGCTTCTCCTGGCAGACGTCGTAACTGGTCGCCCAACACGTCCAGTCCGGCCCCACCACCGTCGTCTGCAGCACCTCCACGAGCCAGGCGGATCTCCAGGGTGGAGTCCCTCAGGAACCTCTTTGTGAGAGGTGGAGTCAACTCTCTGACAAACGTGCAGAACAAGGAGAAGACCATCAACAACAACACCATCAAGAATGTCCAGGAGAACGGCACAGAGTGGGTGAAAGAAGAGTGTCAAAAAGGTATTTCAGACCTGTATCAGCTGAACGAAATGCTTGAAGAGTGTAAAAAGGGAAAAGAAAGTACCACCAAACCAGTGAAATGCAGGAAGAGAGCCTTGACTGAACCTGTACCTGAAAACCCCTTAGAGGAACACTGTCTGTTAGAATACATCCTTTCTCACCAATCCTTGCAAGGCATTGCTGGAAAAGAGACAGAAAATAATCTCAAGTCGTTGAGTTACGATGATCTCTTAGCGACTTTCAAAGATCTCACTACAGCGGAACAGATGAACTTGTTGAAGAAATCCACGTTGTCTTTAGACGAACGAAATTCAGGTTGTGAAAAGAGCAGATCTCATTTGTCAGTTTTACCTGAAGAGAATTCTTCAGTGTCCCCAGTGCCTGGAAGGAGTATAGGGAAAATAAGACTGGTAGATAATAAAGAGTGTAGAAGTAGTAATGAAGAACTCACGAGAAGAGGGAGGAAGAATTCTACTCTTAAACCCAGACCTGATTCTACTCCTGTACCTGGATCTCAGCTGGAGACTCTTTGTTCCTTATTGAATAATCTTCTGTTGGTTAAGGCAGATGAAAGTGGGTATGAAAGTGATTCTACAAGAGCTGGGTCAGACTCACCGAGGGGCTCTATAAAGTCATCTATTTCTGACGTACAACTGCCCCGGAAAATTGTCACAAGAACAAACTCAAATACTTCTTTTATCGCAGAAAAAGAAAATGCTGCATCTGAAAAACTCCAGGCGGATTTAAAACAATCAAGTTTCTGCTGCGAAGAAGTGAACGAAACTAAATGTGACGATGCTAAGTTGATATCAGGTCAAGTCAACGAAGAGAGCTTTGATGATGTTTTTTACTCAAACGACACTAGCAAACCCAATGGAAATCCATTGCCAAACGGTTTGAGAGATTTAAGCCCCGCTAATGAAACAGATGAAGAAAAACTTTCTTTTTCAAGAAAACGAAACGCTAAAATAAACATTGGCATACGCAGAGGTGATGTAAAATCTGTCGGTCTTTCTTTGGGCTATCGAAAACCTTCTCCTAGTTCTCAATCTGAGGAGATCAAGGGAGAAAGGGGGATTGACAGCAAAGATATTTCTTTACAATCACTGCTATGTAACAGATGCAAACCGACGACAGAAATCCAAACCAAAACTACTCCTTCCTCTAACTTCAATCTATACCAAAGGTTTCTTAGTAATAAAGCGCAGCAGATTTCAGTGGCACATTCTTCAGTACCGCCCTCTTCAAGTTCAAGTTATCGGGACGACAAAGAGTTCAAAAGTATGAGGTTCACCAAAGACCACACAGGAGAATTGGGAGTGTACATAGAACGTAAAGATCCTGCAGCTAGGTCTGCTTGTTATGTCATCTCTTATATTGAACCTGGAGGAGTGATGCACAGGTTGGTTTTAGTTTCCTAAGCTCCATGAATTTTTAAGAAACACTGTAATATTCTTTTAATTCTTGAAATACTTTAACCCTACTTTCATTAGATTTTCAAGCATTGAATGAACTGTGTAAAACTTTGACTACAAATTTATAATTTTTGTACATATATCTTGTCTCTTGAAGAAGTGGTCTAACAAGTTGCTATTCAACATTGGGCTATCATTTAATTTAGTTTATTTTGGGTGATATGTTGAGTTTACATTAGCTGTTCATTGTGAAAATTGTCGTTTCTGGATGTTCATAGGTCTCTGTCTCATCATCACATCCCAGGTCCCAAAACATATGTTGTAAAAACTTATTTACAGTAGACTCCCTCTTATCCGGACTCCTCAGGAACGAGGCCAGTCTGGATAACGGTTTTTCCGGTTAAACTGACGTCCCCAAAATCTTGTTAAAACGGACCGTTTAAATGCATACTCTATACAGTATTTTACTTAAAATTAGGAGAGCATTGTATTTAGACACGTAATCACTGGTCTCAAATCTTTCCCACAAGAACAGTCGTTTTAGTACCGCCCACTTCCTGCCAATCTAGTCCGGTTAAACCGATGTGCTGATCAAAATTTTCCGGATAAAGAGATGTCACTTCTACCGAGTGTAGTCCGGTCAAACCGATGTCCGGTTAAAAGGTGTCCGGATAAGAGGGAGTCTACTGTACTAGTAATTGTGATAAAAAATGTCAGCAATAATCAGTTGAATAACAAGTAGGTGTTATCATAGACAAATATAATAAATGTAGACCGTCAGCAGTGCTGCAGTTAGCATATATTCCGGCACCCACCGCTAGGAGTGCCGTTTAGTTACGGCGCACACCGCTGCAGCGTATGCTGGTAGCATACGGCTCCTGTGCTCCTTGCCTGCAGCGGTGTGCGCTGTAACTACACGGCAAACCTAGTGCCAAATCGCAGAACCTTCCTTTGACGTTTATATTTATTCTATTTGTCTACGGTGTTATACGGTAAAAAGATCATAGAATTTGGAACATTACCTTTAAAACATTAAAATGCCAATGATGTAGACAGGGAAAATAATAACATAGTAATGTGTTTCCTTGAATGTTTCAGAGATGGCAGATTTCGCATAGGAGATGAAATAGTGCGAGTAAACGGCTGCAGAATGAGAGGTCTGACGATCCAAGAGGCGAGAACTACGTTGCGGAACACACCTCAAGAAGTGGAAATCGTCATTTGTCGTGACACTGAACCTAAAACTCTACCTGAAACAACCGTTCCAACATTTCCGGACAAGACTTTTAAAAGACCTCTCGCTCCACTCAGCAGCGTACCAAAGGGAATTAAAGTGGAAAAATCACAATATCTGAGACAAGTTTCAATGCCAGAGATTAAAATTGACTCGTCAAAAAGGGAAAGTAAAATCGCAGAGAAGAATGCCGAAGCTAAGAAACCACCTTTGTCGAAATCTTCTGGGAAACCTCCCATTCCTCCGGATGAACCTGCAAAAGCCTTGACAGGAATGAGGAAGTTCTCGTGTCAGTTTGACGGAATCTCTCCGAGGAGAAGGACTGAAGCTCCGAGAAGACAAAGTCAAACACCGAGGCCAAAGTCTTTGACATTGTCCATGTTTACTGTCACGTTACATAAAGGTCCTGGATACAAGTCCTTAGGCTTCAGCATAGTGGGAGGCCAGGACTCTCCGAAAGGATCTCTGGGGATCTTTGTGAAAACAATCTTCCAGTCAGGACAAGCTGCGGAAAATGGAAACCTTAGAGAAGGTAAGATTTTGTAGTATTTGGTTGTTTAACTAACACTCTACACTGAATTGGTGTTTGGAAAAAAATATTGTTATTTGTTATGGGGTTTCTATTACTATTGTGTTCTTCCTTCAACAAACACCTTTTCAACATAGTCAAATCAATCATATCAATCATCGATTTTCATTGTACAGTGAATCGCAATATATTTCTAAAGTGATCAACCAATGCTCACCTGGAAGTTTCAGTTCATCATTAGCATAACTTTTTTACATATATCACTGCTTTTCTCTTCATAAAAAATATTTTAGTAAGTACCATGTTTTCAAACTAAAAAGCATATATTAAAAAGTCGCTCGAGTTTTGATTGGCAAAAAGTGGTGTTTGGTGTAATTTTAACTCAAACTCAATGCATTCAACTCCATCCGTGATATGCTGTGAACATAAATTGTGCTAACCACCAAAATAAAAAAAAAGTTAAATCAATTATTTCCAGGCAAAGTTGCATTTATTGCCAGAGCCTTACGAAATTCCAAATAAATAGCCAATGGTTAAAGGCGACAATAATCCTTATATATAATACGTAAAGGCGATTTCTACAAAACACTACTCCTCCGTTAATAATGGACGGATTTTTACAAACGACGTGTCAAAATAAAGTATTTTTTGTGTAGACGCCCCCTTTCACCAATTCCTGTAATAAAAATCTTCGGGCTTTGCCCCACAGGCCATCAAAGTTGGATTTTCTCCTTTAAGATTAACATGGGGGAATTTAAATATTTAATTGGAAACTTTGTCCCCACTAATTTGAGAGAACGGCTGGGCGTAGAAACTTGGTAGAGGTGTCCAAAGAAAGGTCTTGGTCTGTACATGAGTAATCAAAAGAAAAACTAAGCAAAATCCCTTAGGGCTCTGCCCCAGAAGCCTTTAAAGATCCCTCCACAGAGTTGTTTACATTTTGGCCATGTGAATAATACTTTTTAATAAAACAGATGTTCATTTTTAAATTGTATTTCACATAATAATATTATTGATGTACCAAATAAGTATTTGCAATGTTATTTTCTTCTAATCTATATAATTAATACGCTACATGAAACTTCGTCGGTTGAACTCCTCCGCCATTTCTTAACCGATTTTATCCATTGACGTCTCATTGGAAAGAGCGTGTCGCGTAGATTTGCAAACTGGCCTTACATTTTTGAAAAAGTCCCTTGGGCTCTGCCCCAGTGGCTTTGAAAGTTCCCATGTTATCCTTATGAAGAACATAATTGTTTACATTTTGATCAGCTGTATAATTTAATTGCAGTTATTTATTTTTCAATTCAATGAAACTTGATGAAACGCATTGAGTAGATTTATTTACTATTTGAGTTTGTGTAAACATAACCCCCAAGATGGATCGTTTTAGTATGGTTGCATCTTAAATTTGTGTATTTATCGTTGTTTTGTGTCGCTATGACGGGTCGTATGACGGAGTATGATTGTAACTTAAATTTGTGCATTTATTGTTCTTTTGTGTAGCTATAATTTGTTTGTTTGTTGTTTTTTTTCTTTTAAATGCCTCCGACGCGACGACAACGAAACAGACAGGAGGCGTAATCATGATAATAACGACCGCAGCTACAGAACAGTGGCGCGTAATAGGCTTAACTCATCACATTCAGCACCTGACCCTGGACAATCTCAACTATTAGGTTACAAATGCGCCCTAACACTACCCCAAAACGACTTTTCGTTCTCAATTGGCCCTCTATCAATGAGCTGTGTTGCGTGTACAGTGAGGCATTTTGAGAAGGAGAAAACCAGCCGGAATGCTTTAGGTTTATCAATAACAACGAAGATAAACATGGTCTGAGTTACACACACCGGTAATCTTTGAGTTGAGTCTTATAAACTCATTGTAAATATGACTGTTATTCGTTTTGAAATAACTCCTGTAATCTGTGATACTTTGCAATTGCTCGAATTCGAGCAACATGTACACTAGTTTTAAAATTAATGTTCCTCTTTATCATGTCATGTTCTGCAATATAACGTTCCATTACGAAATCAGTGGAAAATCCTTTTATCACAGCAATTTTTAAATTATTTTTTATTGAACTATCTTATATCTATTGTACGGGTTGGTGTCTGCCTTTTTCACCACTTTTGCCTACATTTTATCATATTATTCTACACATATCAAATATTTATGTAGAAATGTCTGCTCTTATTAATCGTGTCTAAAAAAATCCAAACATAGAAACCTTGCCTAAAATGGTACCCATCTTGATAAATTATTTGCACCTGCCTATATTACAGACTTTGGCGTACTTGGTTGGTAACATTATTGAAAATAACTCTACATTTTGGCTGTAAAATATGGTACAAAGAGAAAATACGATTTAAGCAGCTACTGTCATGACAGAAAGTTCATATTCCTTTAAACTATAAATCCTTTATAAATCCACATACTGTAATCCTTTATAAGATACGTTGATTACCAATCTGTAAACGTCAATATATACGTAACAGCCAATTTACAGTATTTTTGCTTTTTCGAAATGTCCCATTGCTATGTCATTTGCATTATTTGTTGCCAATGAAGCCGTTAAGACCATATAAATGAGAAGGCCCCTAACAGTTCAAGAATTAAAGCCAACTTCGCTTCAAGTATTCCACTACACCCAACATTCAGTAGAGAGATTATTTTGACAACTTTATGTTATTGATAAGGCTGAGACAACTAACTGACATCCCCCATGTCAAGGAATTCCAGCTTTAATAGTAACCCCACAATCAATTTCTCAAAACTATGCTAGAGGGTTCATTCATTGGCACAGAAGTACGATATGAACTGACGCGACGTGACGAAGGAAAAATCAAACTTACACTGTAACGGATATACCTTCCTTTGAAGTTAGAATATGTCTTCCCAACAAATGTTCTCTTTTAAAATAAAATCATAATACACTGATGAAATCACAGAAGTGTTTAACTACAAAAGACCCACCAATACGATTTTAATACTATTTAAAGGTTCTTCCAAAGGAAGAGATGTCATATAACATACTAATAATAACTCCGATGAGTCCGATGACGTACGGTATGGGAAATATTTTAATCATTGAATGATCAACCAAATTTGGCAACTAACGCAATTAAAACCAGTATTGTTTTTACACTTATTACCCTTTAAACAATGCTAAATGCTCAAAATATGTATATTTCACCAAATTTATTGCAGTTAGATGACTTAACGTAAGCCTTGAAAGTAACCGTCGATTTCGACGGGTTTCACCTAGTATATGCAACAAGACGATATGAGGCTTCAAGTGTGTCTAGATAAAAGTATATTAGATCTCAGGACTTGTAGTTCTATCTGCTTGGCACGTTATTGGAAATACTCTCAATTCTTTCACCTTGTCACTGAAACTACAACCTATTGATTGCTGTTTACAGGTGATGAGATTATAGCTGTCAACGGGACGACACTACAAGGTCTGACTCACTCGGAGGCCATCGCAGTGTTCAAGGAAATCAAGAGTGGAACTGTCATGCTGCATGTCGGCCGACGAGACCAGCTGCATAAGAGGTTAATGTTATTCACTCTTGATGAATTGAATTAAAAAAAAGCAATTAAGCCAAGTGGCTTCTAGGACTAATTGAAAATAGATGAGGTATTGCTAGCTATCCTGAGAACATTTTCTTCTTTAACCTATTCTCTGGGTAGGGGTTGTTATTATTTTTCATTACTAGGACGTAAAGTGACTCTTTTCAACCTGAGCTCAAGTTTCAAAACTGAGGCGAAGCCGATACTATCGAAAAATGAGCGAGAGTTGAAAATATACTTTTTGCATGTGTAATGAACTTATTATTTAACCCTGTCCATGCGAGAATTTTTTTGTAATTTTCCTTAAAATGTTAGTCATTTACTTATTTTGTCCGAAAAGTGCTAGGCTTGCCACGGGGGCGAAGTCTAGTGTGTGAGAGAAAAATCGGTAGAATTAAAATTTGTCTTCTCAAAAGTGCAATGGAACGATATATCGAGCCTCGATCGTATGAGGAATCTAAAGAAACCATCGCTGTTTCGAAACAATAACCAAGTCAACCAATATGCCCATTTGAACTCACACAATCGATAGTTACCCTAGTTATTGATATAGCATATTGATATAGTTGCTTAGCACACGAAAAACTATATATCGTTTGACAGCACTTTTCAGGGAAAAGACTCACAATGATGTATCGTTGCATAGCGCTGAAAGGGTTAAGAAACCTAAGTAAGAAAACAAAAAAACTGTTAATGTTAAGATAACCTATCAAAACAACTTCCAGCTTGTTTCTAATAAACAGCTGTTTTAATTGATTCATTCTTTTCGTCTATTACGATTAGTGTTCATTATACTATCAATGTGTCAAACTGACAAGAACGCAACAATAGGCTAAAACCGATTAAAACAGTGGATACACACTTTGATACATAGGATTGCTAAAAAAGGACTAAAAGCTTGTCACTCCAAGGGAAAAAGACTAAAAAGAGCTACTTTAGACCCGCAAGGCATGTTAAAAACGTGTGTTTTTGCTTTTGCATGACAAAAAAGATGGAAAAGGAGGTTACCTCCCTCAGGAGACTTAAAATACATTACTCTTAATGTAAATTCTAATGATTGACTGAATCCAGTAAAGATTCAAACAATTTGATAAAATCTCTGCCACTCAATTAAAGATTATATAGCTGTTTCATTCTCAGAAAAACCTCTACTGCTTTCAAGCATATGATCCCGCACTTTGGTAAATTATTTGTGTAACTAGAGCTTGCTACCATTTATTATTGCAATGTTCACTGATATCAATAATAATCTGTTCCAGAGCTAACAAGTCCAAATCCTGCGATGACCTTGACAAATTCAACTCTTAACGAAAATAGCAGCAAAGAAAATTAACAAAAGGCTGTGACTCATCGAGAAACCTTGTGGTTCTTTAATTTCAGAGTTTATATTATCTTTTAACTTTACAACACTGTATATAGAAATATTGTTCCTACATTGTATAATTGTAAGGCAACGCTTAGGTATGGGCTTTAGAAAACTTTTGTACAGTGTTTATTGTTGTAAGTTTTATTTTGTAATTAACGAAATAATTATTATAATGTTATCTCAATTTAGTATACTAAGTTAAACATTTTTTGTGTTTGTTTTTCTACCCCACTTATTTTTGTTGGTAGCCTGAGTATTATGTGCATCTTTTGCTCAAACAGTTTAGAAATGTAGTTTTTACAAAGGAGCAGTTCAAAACCTGTTTTGGTTTCCATCCAAGGTGCTATTTTTCTTAAAAATAATTCTTAAATAAAAAAAAAAACTTATAAATGTCCCCTTGACCAAATACTAGTACTAAAAATATCTGTGTTGAGGATGGAGGATAACTCTTCAAACTTTTCCTTCAGGGTTCAATCATGTTACAGACATAACATCACACTAGGAACTGACACTTTGGACTTGTTACAGACAGAGACGGCTAGAGGGTGGGGCAGGGGGGGCCAGAGCCTTGGGCCCTGGGTTTAGAAGAGGCCATTCTGTACATGTAATCTGTTAAAGCCAAAGATTTTAGCATGGTTTTCCAGTTCACTAGGTGATCTTTGATTGGAATGAAGCAACTGTGAACACAATAGTTAATCAAACTAGCCTATCATGCATAGATATGTACTAACCGCTATACCCGTGCCTTGCAATGGGAACAAGATACGGAAGAGACAGTTTTGGTTCCCTGAAAATAATGGCTTGAGAACGCTAAAGATAACAATCATTATGTTCCCTAGATCTACAGTATGTAGATAGACTTTTATTAATTTACTATTAGATTAGTATTAATTGGCTACATAAACATAACTGTAAAAAACCCATCCATTCCATGTAGGTACCACAGCTTTTTGTTTCTGCTTGGTACAAATTAGCTGTTGTCATAAATTTTAACAATTAGTGCTTCAACCTGTTGGCAAACCTATAAACCTTTTAATGCTATTTAACATCACAGAATCAAATTGTTAAGTTGAAACAGCTGTTAAGATTCTTTAATTCCATTTAAATACAAGCACTCATAAGGTTAACAGAAACTCCAGAGCCACTGGGGCGGAGCCATTTGGATGGATCACGAAATTGAAATTTGAGTTTCGTGGCCATCGGTCCAGCTGTGTTTGAGATTATCACTGCCAAATATATAAACATACAAACAAACCAACATCCTCTTTTATAGATTGTTATATCTGTAACAAAACGGCACGGATGCGGCTAGACACTAAATCAGGAAAATAGGGGGCACGGGATCCCTCAGCCCAGAGGCCTGTGATGGCTCTTGCCGGCCCTGGTTACAGAAACATAAACCTATCATCGGTGCAGGTGTTTGTCTAGCACTACTACTATTGAAGGCTTGGAGAACATATATTATACTGGCACATTGTTGTTGTCAGCGACAGAATTCTGGTTGCTTTAGCTAACAGTTGTGCCAGACACTTGATCCGACGATGGCTTTCTGTAACGAGTCCAGGTCCGCGGGTTGCTTGTGATTCACTATGAACCTGAGATAATTTCCCCTCTACACCTACATTGTGGGGTAATTTTCTCTTCTTTGCACTCTTAAAAAACCTTAAACCTCTTGCGAAATGTCATTTCCTAGTAATAAGTTTATGTCTGTGTTGACAACCTCTAAAGATCAGGTTTGTAGTGCCAGTGACCGTCAAATAGTGTCTATGTAGGATAAACAATATTTAGAATTCTACATGCAGAGAAAAATTGAGAAAGTACCAGATGCAGTGACTATAGACTCTTCTATAGTGTTCAAAACGCTGAGAATGCAACAGTCTTGAATAGAATAAAGTTTTGGAGAACTCAAGGACTGCATTGTGCTCAAGTAAAGAACATCTGTCTCTGAAGATGGTCAATAAAGTATACTCATAAGGGTGCTCAGTAAGATACGGAGAAAACTTGCTTATAGGACAACTGTGTGCTTTCAGCTGTTTTGCTTAAAATATACTTGTGACAAGCAAGAAGAGCCCAAGCTGGGAGCACTGTGCTAAAATTCCTCGCACAGGACACAGGGTCTTCCTCCACCATGACCGTTGTAGTACATGTTGGCGAGAGGGGTGGTGTTGAACGTTTAGACACCAGCGACTAGTGCTAGACACCACTTAGTGTACCGAATCTGAATGTTTTCTCTGTACCTTACTTCTCCGTGGTTTAATAAGGAAGACAGTTCCTGTGGGTTAATTTCCAACAGTTTGGTAAATTCCATCAAGGATAGAGTGTGGTCCCTGAAGTTGATGGTAATACAATCTACAAAGTAAATAACTTTGTGGTACCTATGGTTCATCTTACTGTAGATCTTAAGATAGGATTATCAAGTTTGTTTATTACTATTATCATTTACTATTGGATTCGATCAAAGCTATTATCAATCATTGCTGAATTTAAAAATACCTGGACTGAAAGAGGAGTGAGATCCTCTTGTGAACTAATCCGTCCCACAAAAACCTATTATAAACATATAACATATTATATGAAAGGGATACGTTTCTAAAGGAAATATTGAATGAGTTGAACATTTTTTTAAAATTAAATAATTTAAAATGAGCTTTTAGTAAAATATTGGGGGTTGAATATGCAATAAAAATGTAACACATGTTGACTTTGCGTCTAGTTGGCTACATAATATGAGCGATGTTTTAGAACTCGCCCCCATGCTACTCCTTCCTTCCCCATGGTGTGTATGCTGGGAGAACGACAACATCGGTTTTAGTCATCTCCAATATGACTCCAAAAACAATCATAAAATTTGTTCTAATTTTAGTACATCCTGGTTCTAATACTCGCCTTACTACGTACTCACTACTCCCCTATGGATACATGGACTATTTAAACTCAGGCAACCATTAATATGAGGTAATGTTTTTAACAATCAAATTAGCTTCTATAATTTTAAATAAAATCGTAAGTTAATTTCTTTTAAGAAATGATAAAATTCTGTAAACAGTAAGTGCAGAATTTATTGTAATTATTTTGTTGTCAGACATTTAATGTTTTGTTAATGTAGCTGTAATATTCAATGTAAACAAAATTCGACTAGCTTTTAAATCCTATTAATCTAAAAAAAAAACGTGTGTACATACAAACTTTTTTTCAAGGAAATTAGATTTTTTAAATTTAAAATGGGGTATTTAGTGACGGAATATCGATTGCAGTTGGTCTCAAGGCAACAAAAGGTAAGTAAAGGGTGGGAGTAAAACTATGCTATTTTAAGGGGGACCGTAATTTTTAAAGCATTATAGGAGCTGTGCCATTTTGTTAGAAGTGAAAAAGACAATAACATTCTAAATTATAATCAAAATCGTTAAAGCTGTGGAAATCAGGGGTTTCCGTTATTTTATGAGTTTTTATGAATCACCACTAAAAATAAAAATGAAAACTATCTTGGAGATACCATGGATTAATACTAACATAACAAATGTTATCAAATTTGGACCTCAGGTGTAGTCTGTAGCTCTGTACACATACACATACAGACATCACTTCGTGAAATCATTATTTTAGGTATATCCATCCAAAACTCAAACTCTGAAATGTTGACAAAAACAATACTTTCTCCATACCCCATGTATAGGAGAAGAAAGAAAAAGAAATACATTTTTAATACTATGAACAGGGGGAGAAAGTAAAAATATACCTACCAATTACATAATTTTAAAATATTTGCGAAACATGATGGCGTTTTCCTTGTTGTGGTAGGTTATACTCCGCTAATGACCTTTAATGGGAGTTTCGCAGACTACCCTTAATTAGACCGTATATAAAAGAAAATAAGTAAACAACTGTAGTTTCGACATCATGATCCTAGCTGTAAGTAAAATTTTATCTCCTTTGTTGTAATATTTTGTTAGTATTAGCAAAGATTACATATGCTACGCAAAAATGTAATCTTTGGTATTAGGAATATCAGAATGAACTGCTATTACATATGGAAAGCAATATTATTCAGTCATGACATTGAGTTTGCTATAAAGTCCCCATATGTATTCATCTACTTTTCTCCTATACATGAGTAGGCGCCTTAAAATAAGAAAATAAATAGCAAAACCTAGAAATAATTAGAACACGGATGAAACCATTGTTGTTCGATAGTAAAAGGTATTGTGAATAACATATCAAAAGTCTCCAAAAATATCTTTTGTGGAACACCACCATTTTTCCAAAATGGCGGTCAAATCCAGTAGTTTTTTGCTTTTTATTGAAATTCTGACTTTCCAGTCAATATTGGTGAAAAGTCGTCAATACATTTAATGTTCCTCGTGAAATTACCTTTAAAATGATACCAAATACATGTACCTACAACAAAAAATAAACCCCGTAGAAATAATAAAATATTTCAAATAAAATTATTTTTGATAAATTAATGTAATAGTCCAAGCAAACTAAAAATAACGTACACAGGGATCGTATAAAAATTTGCAAGTAAACATGTTATGGTTTTATTTTTATTGTTGTGGTGTGCAGAGTGACATATCAAAAGTTGCAAAAAACCAGTCCACGGGAAACCCCTAAATTAAGGAAAAAATGGCGGCTTTTCCCAATATTGGACAAATTTTGCAGCAAAAGATACCACATATTTTTTGCAAATTTTTCGAGATATTGACTTGGAACCACGACCGATATTTATTGGATAGTCCGTACTTAATTTCAATAGGGGACGCTTTTTGGGCCGCCATCTTGGATCAGCCATATTGGATCTGCCATATTGGATATAAATATTTTTAATGTAATTATAGTGTTGTGACACATCATTATGAACTAGATTTCCACGCTGATTTCATTGCTGAAATCAGTTGTTTAAATAGCGTTTTACGATTTTAAGATATATTAAAACGAAAACTCTCCCCCATACATTTCTTATGGACGTTTCGTACTTTGACAATTTAAAAACACATTGAAAACTACCACAGTCTAAGGTTGTACTATCAGGTTAAAGTATGGCGTGGAAATAGTTCACCAGCAGATCCAACAGATTGGGAGTGGTGTTTGACTGATGGTACATATGACCAACTTACTTATAAATAACTGTACTTATAAATAACTGTAACTGTCTAACTTGGAAATTATATTTAGATAAATATAGGATATGGCCTTTAAAAAATTTCAACAAAACGTTTTATGGTTTTATTTTGTAGTGTTGTGCAGAGTGAAAACGGGAAAAACTCGTCATAGCTATTCGTTCAAGTATTGACTTTTATTTTAGCTATGGATTCCTTATTGGGAGTTATTTAGAATTGGGGATAAATGTCTTTAGCTAAAGACAAATTTCAAAATAGGTAACAATAATTCATTCAGTAGTGCATCGAAGGTAGGCCTACATGATTCGTTTTAAATTTGTCATGTGTCATTTATTAATCAATAAAATTAAAGCCAAACATTTACTGAGTACTTTGATACCAGAATGAACTTGTTAACATATTAACAACCCGAGATATAAATCTTTTAACAAAAACTGATAAAAAAAGTTTACCGTAATTTAATTTTGTGTTGGGGTTTGTACCTCGTCTATAACTAGTATGTTTTAACTATAAATAAAACAAAATGAAAGCTAACTAAAATGAAAGATCTTTTATCACTGAATATTTTAAGGCTAGAACGAACTGCAAGCAATAATAATACCTGGAGAAAAATAATCCAAACACATTTTCAAAGTAACTTAAGATACGTCTATAACTGATGTATAGGGGAGAGTTTTCGTTTTAATATATCTTAAGCAATGAAAAAACTTATTTAAAAACGGATTTCAGCATTGAAATCAGCGTGGAAATCTAGTTCATAATGATGTGTCACAACACTATAATTACATTAAAAAATATTTATATCCAATATGGCAGATCCAATATGGCTGATCCAAGATGGCGGCCCAAAAAAGCGTTCCCTATTGAAATTAAGTACGGACCATCCAATAAATATCGGTCGTGGTTCCAAGTCAATATCTCGAAAAATGTGCAAAAAAATATGTGGTATCTTTTGTTGCAAAATTTGTCCAATATTGGGAAAAGCCGCCATTTTTTCCTTAATTTAGGGGTTTCCCGTGGACTGATTTTTGCAACTTTTGGTATGTCACTCTGCACACCACAACAATAAAAATAAAACCATAACATGTTTACTTGCAAATTTTTATACGATCCCTGTGTACGTTATTTTTAGTTTGCTTTGACTATTACATTAATTTATCAAAAATATTTTTATTTGAAATATTTTATTATTTCTACGGGGTTTATTTTTAGTTGTAGGTACATGTATTTGGTATCATTTTAAAGGTAATTTCACGAGGAACATTAAATGTATTGACGACTTTTCACCAATATTGACTGGAAAGTCAGAATTTCAATAAAAAGCAAAAAACTACTGGATTTGACCGCCATTTTGGAAAAATGGTGGTGTTCCACCAAAGATATTTTTGGAGACTTTTGATATGGTATTCACAATACTTTTTACTATCGAACAACAATGGTTTCATCCGTGTTCTAATTATTTCTAGGTCAAACCATATATTCAGGAGCCTATGAGTATGAGAAGAAACTATTGGGTTTTATGGTTATTTTCAAGTTTGAGTTATTGAAAATACCTCATTTTCTGTGCCCTTAAATCTGAAGGGGTCTGTAATTTTAAAGAATTATTTGAAACAATTACACTTCTCATTTTACAACACTGTATCCATTAGTATAATTGAGTCATAACGATTAACAGGTTTGGCCCTGGGGAGCGAGCTGGTCTAGTGGTAAAGCGCTGGACTTCGGTCCTTAAGGTCTCGTGTTCAAATCCCACCAATTTACCAATGGATTTTATCGTAGTGATAATTCTGCAACCCCTAGGTCTAGCCTGAAGTAACGTGAAAAACTATTCCAGGCTAGTTTCCATCCTAGGACAAAATATCCCTGCCGCAGCAAACCTGCGGACTAAGTGAATTAATTTCCATTTGTCTGAATTAAATTTATTGTCAATTAAATCTATTTAAATAACTTAGGTTTAATGATTGTCTAGGTTTGCTGCTACAGTACAAGGAAACTAATAAATAAATAAATTTGCTAAGTTTGATCAAAATATATCCATAAACAAGGAAACTACAACATTTTACAATATTCTCCATAAGAATAACATGTGAGTTTTAAATTTAAAATTTTTTAGATTTGCTCCGTTGCCAATAGTTGTTCAAAAACACTTTCATATATTATTTGTTTTTTAAGCTCTTTAAAAAGGTCTCTAGAGAAAAATTTGGAAATTTTGTGTTTTGAGGGAAAAAATGAGAAAAACCAATTTTTACCCCCATAAAACCCCGTTCCCATGGTCGGATCATGCTTGTTCACTAACTCATTTAAGTTTATCCCGCCAGACACCTTTAAACCAATTTTCATCGGACAAAAATTACTCGAGTTATCGCGTTAACGGATACATATATAAAAAATTTTAACCAGAGGTATTTTTGGCCTCTGGAGACATCAAAATTAAAAATTAAATCAGTCCTGTGCTAGGTCTTACCGTGCCACCTACGGTAATATAACTACTTTCCTATAGGAAAATTCGCTAAAAGAGGGTTTTTGAAAATCGATATGGAAACGTTGGTCCCACGGCGTTAGAATAAGTCCCAGAGATTTATTTAAACTGCTGATCTAAGAATATTCCAAGAAATTTTAACGATTCTTTAAAGAGTATTTAATGGAATTCCCAATCGAGAAGAATCCAGCAGGACAAGAACGTCACTTGAAGGATGCTGTTTTCAAGACATGGAAAAATGACTCTGTCAAGTTAATGGCACAATATAAGCTATGTTTTACGTGCTATTTATATGTATAGGGTAAATAGCATAAAATTTGTACTATTTTTTGATTGAGACACTCTTATTGCCTCACCTTGTACAGAAGCTCATGATGGTTTTCATAAACTTTTACATGACAAGCATTCCTTACTTTGTCTAGGTAGGTGTACTGCTCTCCCTAGCCCTAGGGCTGGTAGCAGGAGCAGCTATACCAGAAGTACCAGCAGTACCAGTCACCGACCACGATGACTTAAACACCTCCGAGTTCATCTGGGGAGGCTTAGGCTTCGGCCGCCCATTTGGATTTGGACGTCCTTATGGATTCGGCCGCCCTTTTGGATATGGAGGTTTTGGTGGTGGATTTGGCGGTGGATTTGGCGGTGGATTCGGATATCCCGGTTTCGGAGGTGGATTCGGCTACCCCGGTTTTGGTTATGGAGGATATCCTGGGTTCGGTAAGTTTTGATTAATTAAATGTATCATATTGAACTAGCAACATAAAAATCTAGGAAGGCAAAATAGTATATTTCATCACTAGGGCTTAAATTGACTCTTTTCGACCTGAGGTCAGGTTTTACGATTGAGGCGAAACCGAGGTCGGAAAATGAGCGAGGGTTGAAAAGAAAGTTTTTCCCCATGTCATGAACTATAGCTTTCATCATATTGCACCATTATTTGATCAACCTATGTTACAAAACTAAATAGTTTTCATTTAAAGTAGCCTCAAGCAGCTGATTAGTAAGTGTTTCAATCGTTTGGTTGATTGTGTTAGTTTACGTTATACTATCGATAAGTCAAAATATTTACAATAAGGCTACAATCGAAAACAATCGATACATACTTTCATTTCGAATTTACAACTGAGTTGACATCAGCTGATTTTTACTCCCTAGGAGCTAAAAACAAAAAACAGTTAAAAGTGGCTATTAAGGCTGTTAATCAATTAAAAATCCTTAAAAACCCTTAGTCTAATGCTATATCTTTAGAAAAAAGTAAAAAAATTAAATGTTGTTTTCATCTCTTTCAGGTCGAGTTTACCCTGGGCTCGGAGGATACTGGTTTTGATGAGATCAAGCTGTGTTATTTTTTGTAATTTCTGTATTTCATAATTTAATTAGCACTTAAACGAGTTTGTATGGTAATTGTTTAAATTATGATATCAATATTATCTATATATACTAGTAGTTAAAAATTGTGTGAGAAATTACCACTTTTGTTTGCCCAAAGTATTAATACAATGGTTTTAAAATAATTCACTAAAGTGATATAAATATTATTAACTTAGCTACTGCGTGAAAGATAATTTGATACTTAGTTTGTTAAAACATAACAGTTATTGGTTTTACATTGGAGATTTTTAGGGACTTATGTCCCTACATGCCACTAGTTTTATTTATTTGTCTTACTAATGAATGAACGTTGTTAAAAATTGTAAGAAAAGAGGCTTGAATTTATACTTGACCTAATAAGAGTCCTTATTGTATTTTGTGTATTGTGTACTTTCTTCAACTCACAGTACACAACCAGTGGTACACAGCTAGTATGTTACTAAATGTTTGTTAACTCAGATGTGTAGAAGAGCTTACCCACAAGTTTAATCAATAATTCTGAATCGTAGGACCCTTCCACACGAGGTCTCTGGTTGCTCGCAACTGCAGTTGTCCGTCAGGACATTACGATAACGTTATTAGTTTTTATTCTGCCACACAAAAGTTTTGAATGCAAATACACAAACGATTTTTAATCAAATAAGCAACAAGTAATAATGAAGTTTAGCTGTATAATTTGCATGGTTAGTGTGTGTAACTTTTCGCAGTAGATTTAGGGACCTACACCTCTTAACCCTTCCAGGAATATGGACGGATATATCCGTCAATCTTTGTTTACTTTCCGGGCTGAAAACAGATATATTCGTCAAATCAAATTTTATTTTATTCATAACTTCTGTACAAAACTTAGTTCAGCCCTAAGGAAAATCTTTTCATGATCCATGAATTATTTCAAGTGAAATTAATACAATACAACCACTTTCGTTTTGAATTTTTGTCAAAAAAATAATTAAGCCCCAGCCTTTTATTTAATTTAGCCCTGGAAGGGTTAAGTATTTTATCCCACTTGTGAAGCACGGACAGAACAACTAGTTAATTTATATTTACAATGCCTTATGCTCATAAAAGTAGTAAAATGTTGATTTTAAATTTAAAGCTAATAGGAGAAAGTGTGACAGTTTATTGATAGACCTACCATACCATTTATTCAAAGCTATAATTTTGTTTGTCTTTTTTTCAAAAACCAAAACAGTTACATTACACAATGCGGAATACACATAACCAGGAATTTCATCTTCAGGTTCTTTCATGAATTTTATCTTTGGGAAACAATGGTTTACCCGCTAATGTCTCGACATAATGCTTATATTGTGGGTATTCTTCTTGTGGTGTAAGTAGAACCTGGAGGCAAGAGCCGAACCATTTGTTTGCAAAGCAGCTGCCCCTGAAATCAGATGAAAAATTATGGGTGAAGGCAATTTCTGATGACATTATTTACCCTATTATTTTAATGTTTTAAGGGAAGTAGTGAGCGAATGCGGTATTATTCTTATGGGAAAACATGTGGTTAGATAGTTACATTTATTTACCTACATTATTTGGTTAGAGATATTGAATTAAATTTTCCTTTATCAACCGAATTCCCCACTACCAGCAAAAGGAGGAGGTTCTCAATTTGTTTGTGGTAATATTTTTTTTTCTATGGGAGAACCGATAATGTTTATGGCTCTGTGAGTTTAAACTGCTTAGAATGCAATAATTCAAGCAGATAACTAAGCGGCCTCAAAAAGCAGCCTGCTTACCTACAGAATTACACAAGGGAACCAGAAACAAACTCGGATGAGAGTATAGGCCTAGGTTCCGCAGAGTCGGTGTTTGAACGAAAAAAAGTTTGCCGGTGAAAATAAAATAAAATTGAAACGAAAAGACCCTCTTGAACGTGAAAACAAATTTTACCTACGACCGTTTTTTAAAGTAGCCGTTTCAGTACAGTTCTTAGAATTGAAAGTATCTCATAACAGCATTGTTTACTTTCATAACAGCATAGTTTTACTCATAACAACACGGGTAACGGACCAATGAGGTTCAAGGATTGAGAGAGGAGAAGCAAAATTGTAATGATTCGAAATTCAACTACAGTAATTAGCTGTTCAAGCCAATTTAATTGTTGATTGGTGCAATTAGTGAATCAGTGTTTGATTCCTTGCTTCACTGTCAGTGGCAATGAGAGGTTATAAAATAAACAAAAATATAACCTCTCTTAGAAGTTATGAGTAGTGATTTTTAGTAATTAAAACACCGCCGTAGGTAAAGTAGTGTACGCAACTCGCGTAAATAGTGTTAACGACACTCGTAGAAGTTTTTAAGGCACTCGCCAAGGCTCGAGCCTAATTTTCTACTCGTGTCGTTAACACTATCTTTACGCAATCGTTGCGTAAACTACTATTACTTCTACTTCCTCACGTGGTCAACTTAGGAAAACTTTACCCAAACCGGTCAGGAAGAAACAAAGCCACTAGGACTAACTAGGGAAATTACTGGTGACTGGTTACCGAAAACGGGTAAATCTTTAGGGAAAATACCAATACGAATTTTAATTACGTATCTTAAAATAGCAACTGTTAAGACCCAGCAACTATGTCACTAACAAAACATAAGGTACATAACAGAGTTTTTGACAGGTGAGCAATCTATGGCTGGCTCACACAACTACATTAGTTTTTAGTAAAAAACTGGAGACAGCTGACCCATATGTGAGATGGGATGTCTTCTTCTGTATCCAATAGTCAATGGTTCTACTGGCACTCTACAACTAATACAGTTCTATAGAATCTATGGAACAACTACACTGGTTGACATTTGCATTACCAACAAAAGATTTGGCAGGCCAACATAGGCCTGGCATAATTAAAAATTCGTTCATACCTATCAATGTCTTTGCACTAATTGCTAAATAAATAAGTAAACAAAGAAAAGTCAAAACAATGGAAAATAGCTTGTTTTGAAACAACTGTTTAGTGAAAATAGCATTATAGTCGAGGCATTTTAGGAAAGTTAGCAGAAAGTTTAGGTACAGTCCTAATCATCACTTTTCTTTATGTTTTTTGGGTCGCTGAACACGAATATGAGGTTTGCTGACAGATATTTTGCCCGGAACATTGGTTATTTTGTGAAAGACCTTAAAATTTGGGCACTTTTTTTGGTTTTTCGGGCAAATCTCGGTAAGTATGGGTTTTTGAGAAAATCCTGCTATGTAAGATTAAAGATTACAAAATTTACTACAAGTTTCCTATATAATGTTTGTTTCTACGACGAACCGTTTCGCCACTAGAGCACACTAAAAAAGGCCAGAAGTACAAAAAATTCAAAACATTGCTATATGCTGCCGTTTTACATTAGGTTTCCATGGAAACAACCCCTGTTACGATAATTTTAACTATTTATTCATGATAACAAACTGAAACACACTTAAAAATACCCCCGCCACAGCAAACCTGCAGACTAGGCGAATTTCCATTTCCCTGATTGGATTTACACTAAAATGTCCCCTTAGAAGAAGTATCAGTGTCCCCTTAGAAGCGAGAAATATCACATTATTCCCTATTTAAATAAAAGTTTAACGAGTACCTAGGTTTACTGCAACAGGGAGGGTAAAAAGGTGTTTTTTGTAAAATGTAATAATTTGGTATGAAATTAATGCATTTTCCAAATTTGATCAAAATATGTTCATAAACAAGCAAACTACAACAGTTTACTTAGTCTACATAAGAATAAAATGAACATTTTAAATTTATAGATTTTTGGAATTTTCTCAGTAACCATTAGGCGCATAACAACGCTTTAATATACTAAATTATTTGTTTTTTTAAGCTCTACAAAATGGTATGGAAAGAAATCGCTAAATTTTAAGTTTATAGGGTTAAAAATACGAAAAACCAATTTTTACCCCATAAAACCCCCCATAAATCCCTGTTCCCATAGTACGATCATGCTGGGCAAAACCAAAAATGAAAATAAACCCTAACCGTTTTACAAAGGTTTTACATTGGGTTTCTATGGAAACAACCCATGTTACGATAATTAGAACTGTTTATTCATGATAATGAACTGAAACACACTTGAAAAATCTATGCCAAGATGTATGACTGACTGCTGGAACATTTCCCGTTCCCACAAAACCCCCATTTATTTTCTCAGCACAAGGATGTTGCTGGTCACCGGGTTGACTGCTATAGTGATTGAGAAAAAAGGATGAAATACAATAAAAGAGTTGTAGATAACTTTTAACTTTGGTAACGTCAAATTCAGACGAGTAGACCGTGTCCAGCCACTTGCCATAGTGAATAACGCGATGAAAGTAGAGAATTCTTACCCGTATACCTCAACACATTGTGGTCAGAAGACACACTAGTTATAAAGTTTATTAGTGAATTTCCCCTATAGGGAATAAGCTATTGCCGTATTACTCATGGTAAGACCTGGACCAGGGACCGATTTACTTTTTCGTTTTGAGGCCCCTAGAGAAAATTCATATATGTGTCCGTTAGGGCGAGAACTCGACAAAAATCATCCGATTTTGATGAAAATCGGGACAAACGTGTAAACCTACGTCTATTCGAACGAGTTCGCGAACCAGCATGATCGGACTATGGGAACAGGGATTTATGGGGTAAAAATTGGTTTGTCCTATTTTTGACCCTATAAACTTAAAATTTAGCGATTTCTTTCCATACCATTTTGTAGAGCTTAAAAAAACAAATAATTTAGTATATTAAAGCGTTGTTATGCGCCTAATGGTTACTGAGAAAATTCCAAAAATCTATAAATTTAAAATGTTCATTTTATTCTTATGTAGACTAAGTACAATATGTTCATAAACAAGCAAACTACAACAGTTTTGTAGTTTGCTTGTTTATGAACATATTTTGATCAAATTTGGAAAATGCATTCATTTCATACCAAATTATTACATTTTACAAAAACACCTTTTTACCCTCCCTGTTGCAGCAAACCTAGGTACTCGTTAAACTTTTATTTAAATAGGGAATAAATGTGATATTTCTAAGGGGACATTTTAGTGTAAATCCAATCAGGAAATGGAAATTCGCCTAGTCTGCAGGTTTGCTGTGGCGGGGGTATTTTTAAGTGTGTTTCAGTTTGTTATCATGAATAAATAGTTAAAATTATCGTAACATGGGTTGTTTCCATGGAAACCTAATGTAAAACGGCAGCATTTAGCAATGTTTTTAATTTTTTGTAACTCTTGCCTGTTTTAGTGTGCTCTAGTGGCGAAACGGTTTGTCGTAGAAACAAACATTATATAGGAAACTTGTAGTAAATTTTGTCATCTTTAATTTTACAAAGCAGGATTTTCTCAAAAACCCATACTTACCGAGATTTGCCTGAAAAACCAAAAAAAGTGCCCAAATTTTAAGGTTTTTCACAAAATAACCAATGTTCCGGGCAAAATATCTGTCAGCAAACCTCATATTCGTGTTCAGCGACCCAAAAAACATAAAGAAACGTGATGATTAGGACTGTACCTAAACTTTCCGCTAACTGCCACTTATATTCCTAATATGCCTAGCCTATTAATTGAAATAACAAACTTGTCACATGTATGAGGAATATTAAAAGTAAACACGCTAGTTGTCTTGTGACTTAATCTTACTAATATTATAAATCTGAAAGTTTGTGAGTTTGTGTGTGTGTTTGTTGCTCAATCACGCATAAACTACTGGACGGATTGGGCTGAAATTTGGCATGATGATAGCTCACATTCCCGATTAACATTAAAGCATATTCTTATCTCAAAAATCCTTTCGGGTTCCGCCCCAGTGGCTCTGTAGTTCTCCATGTTAACCTTATGATTTTTCATATTTAAAGGAATTAATGAATCTTAACAGCTGTTTCAATTAAACAAGTTGGTTCTGTTCTATGATGTTCAATAGCATCAAAGTTACAAGGATTACCAATAGGGTGCAGCACTATTATTTTTAGCGAATTTCCCATATAGGGAATAAGCTATTGCCGTAGGTCTCATAGCCTACGGTCTCATGGTACCTACCATGGTAACCTCATGGTAAGACCTGGACCCGGGACCGATTTAGTTTTTCGTTTTGAGGTCCCCAGAGACCAATAACACCATCCGTTCAAATTCATATATATATATATTTATTTATATATGTGTCCGTTAGCGCGATAACTCGAGCAAAAATGTTCCGATTTTGATGAAATTTGGTATAAACGTGTAAACCCACATTTATTCGAACGAGTTCGCGAACCAGCATGATCGGACTATGGGAACCGGGGTTTATGGGGGGTTTTGTGGGGTAAAAATGGGTTTTTCTAATTTTTCACCCTGAAAACATAACATTTTGAAATTTCTTTCTAAACCATTTTGTAGAGCTCAAAAAAACAAAACATTAGTATATTGAAGCATTGTTGCATGCCTAACGGTTACGGAAAAATCGCAAAATAATGTAAATTTAAAATTACCATGTTATTCTTATGGAGAATAAATACAGTGTTGTAGCTTGCTTGTGTATGGACATATATTAATGAAATTTTGAAATTTTGTTTACTTCATACTGAGCTATTAATATTTCAATAAAACCCCCCTATTTTCTTCCCTGTAGCAGCAAACCTAAGTACTCATTAATATTAATGATGTTTAAATAGGAAATAAATCTGACAATTTTAAGGGAACAATTTAGTGGAATTCCAGCTGTGTATATGGAAATTCGCTTAGTCTGTAGGTTTGCTGCGGCGGGGGGTATTTTTTATTTATGACAACATCTAATTTCCAACCAAAAGGAAGGTGAGTGAGCGTAGCGAACGAACTTCAACCTGGAGGCGAGTTAGCGTAGCGAACGAGCTAACCTGAAGGCAAGTGAGCGCAGCGAACGAGCTCTAACCTAAAGGTGAGTGAGCGTAGCGAACGAACTTCAACCAGGACGTGAATGAGCCATGCGAATACTTATTAAGTTAAACGGGGCAAAGCCCGCGGGTACAGCTAGTCTATCATAGTCCAAGAATTTTAGGAATAAGAAAGCCATTCGACCTAACAAATTCGGACTAAGTGGAAACTTTGCATAGTTGTTTAGTACGCCTAAATAAATAAAATTACAAAAGTCCCCATAAATCCCGGCTGTGCTTCAGCCGCCGTATTGGAAAATGGCGGGGGTATTAATATATACTAGGTGTCGTCCAGTGGTCGAAAACTCGACCAAAAATATCCAATGTACAGACTTATCTATGTTCACCCCACGCTGTAAATAAAACGTTTGATTGTAATTTCTTCCATTTGTTTTTTTTTTATTTTCTGTTTATATTTCGTTGTTTTTTCGTCACCAGCATGGCAACCCATGAGTCCCATGTTAATTGATTTAAATTTCAAATTCATTTTTCGTGCTTATTTTTGAGCCTATTTTATTTTATAAAGGGATTTATAAAATAAAATCCTACTCATCTACAGGAAAATATCTTTCTATGAGTATGCGTAAATTTTCCCTGCAATGAACACAAGATGAGAAAAAAGGTATTAAAGAAAAATGCTTGAATATTAATACTGTATATAGATGATGATGATGATGATGATGATATGATATATGTTATGATGATATAGGCCTAGAAATAGATTAAATGATTTACACTTGTATCTGTTTGAAGAATATTAGTTTTAACGAGTACCTAGGTTTGCTGGCTATAGGGAGGGTAATAAAGCGTGTGTTTTTTTTAAATATGAATAGCTTTAATTAAAATAAATTAATTTGCCAAGTTTAATCAAAATATATCCGTAAACAAGCAAACCACAGCAGTTTGATAGAAATAATAGATAATAGGCTAAGAAATTTAAAATTTAATTTTTTTAAATTTTAACCACATGCAATGACTATAATATAATTAATATAATTACCTTGCCACAGCTCTGAAGTTTCCGTTACGGCCGTTTCGGCATCAAAATGCCATCCTCAGATACACATACATCCACCAAAATTAAACTTTACATATACACAAAACACCTTGTTTAATGTGTTTGGTGTATATGTAAAGTTTAACGACGCCAATTTTGGTGAATGTATCTGTATCTGAGGATGGCATTTTGATGCCGAAACGGCCGTAACGGAAACTTCAGAGCTGTGGCAAGGTAATTGTATGAATTACAGTATATTATAGTCATCAATTCAGTTCAGGGGCTAAATCATGTCTATTGATATATGCAATGCTCACAGTGTGATGCACACAGAATAGCAGGAAAACACTGATACTTACATGCAATGTGCATATAACTCTAGGTGGGGTCGGAAAAGACTGTAACAGTCGTAACACACAATTTCGAGTTTAGCAAAATAGTCGGCTTTGTATATTCCACGGCAATCGTTCCATGAAAAGGCTGCTCGGTCATTCGTTGGTCTGAATTGATCATGCGCTCGGCCCCCAATTTCTCCACTTGACTCTTTTAAATCTTTTATCAGGTCTTGCAAAACGGCTAGAGCACTACTCCTATCAGGCCGTTGGATCCCCCATTCCTCCAGATAAGTAGAATCATTCTCTTCGACATTTTGTGATGCCACACGAGAGAGGCATGTTGCAGCCAAGAAAGCCACGTTGTATAGCCACAGCTGCATCTGAGCACCTAGAACATTTGAAACACTCCTTACCACAACCTTGAATAAATTACGTGTTACAAAACGTCATTTCGATTTGACTCGGTTCAGTTAAGAGTTGGCATTTTTGGTGGTAGTCAGTAATATACTTTTTCCTACAGTTACCTAACAATGTACATGTTCTCTCACTGATTTGAGAAAGCAAAGTGGCCAATTCGCTCATCAGTGAGACAATGTTAACATTGTCTCACTCTAATTACTTTGTCTCACTCCAGATTTGCAACGAGAAGGCATGAAATAGTGAGCGCGTAACATGCAGGCAACGTCGTATGCGCACGAAATACGTTGGCAGCACTGGCTGTAAATCAGCTGGTCAGCTGTTGTACTGTTGTATTTGTCATTTCACATTAAATGTTATATTACAAAAGTTCACTTCTGTGTCAAAATAGGTTATGTTTCTTCACCAATTTATTTGTTTTATGGTAACTGTAGGAAAAGTATAATGTGCAACTCGAGTTCAAAGTACAATTGCCTCACTCGAGAAACCATTCCTCCTCGAGTGAGTCAATTGCTCACTTTTCTCACTAGTTGCACAAATAACTATAGCCCAATCCAACTGCATTAATTTTGTCCTAAAACTGACTCCAAATTTAAATTGGGAACATATTGTCTACTTCTATCAATTCGCAATTGTAGAAAATAAATACAAAATATTATGTTCGACGCATGAATGTTCTCTAGTAATATTTCAATAAAGATTTTGTCTATTGTCTAATGTCTATTCTTATATATAATATATTATTTGTGTAGACTACCCCCATAGATAAAACATACTCCCTTAGTAGATTTCTCATCCTTATGGAACAGCTGAAGACAATTTTATCGTTAGTTCTGTACGGTTTATGTAGAGGTCGTGTTTTGTTTACAATTTGTTTCCCGTTATTACAGCCATTTAAAACCTCGTTTAACCAAATAATACGATCTAATCATAAACAATAACTTGTCCCCTAGTTATATAACCAAACAGTAAAGCACAAATCAAGAAATTAAACCTTAAAATAATAGAAACAAAGTTTCTTCGACACTAGCGCCCATGTGTCACGTAAATGAACTAGACACGAAAAACGTGCTTCAAAATTTACAATGGGATGAGAAGTCTACTTGTGTTGGTTAGTCTATGCTACCCCTTTCACCAGTTCCTGTAATTTAAGTCCTTGGGCCTTGCCCCACAGGCCATCACAATCCCAATCTTATGACTAAAAGATTTTGTTTACTTAAACAGACGAATAATTTGTATTAATAACAGCTATTCATAATAATCACATGATACATACAAGAGCGTTAGTTTTCAGAGTGAGTTTGTTTTCAGTTTCGATAACTGGAGTGGAGTGAGTGATCGTTTTTAAAATGAGTTTGTTTTCAGTTTCGATAACTGGAGTGGAGTGTTTGACTACGTTATCTTTGGGTTGACTCTTTTAAGTAGTCGGACATTATGACTTTTATTATTCATTTTGAAATATTGCCAGTAATACTTTGCAATTGCTCGAATTCGAGCAACAGGTGCACTTGTTAAAATTAATACTTATACTTGGATGTGCTCAGATTGTCTTTCAGTCTTAGTAAATCGATATTGTAAAAACTCATCAAATGATTGATCCAAAACATTCTTTTTCACACTGATATAATTAAATATGTCAACAATTTCTTATTAATAGTTCAAATCCTATACTGGGTACTAAAAATTAACGTATAATTTTTAAATTGACCAATGATTAATCAATCGTTGTTCAAAAATTACCACTTATTCTCAATTAATTATGTTATTATTTAAATGATTTATCTGTAGAAAGTTGTTGACATTACCTTATTTGAAAAATGAGAACCTAATTTCACCTTCAACTTTGAAGATATGTATGATATCGGCTGAGTAGATATGTTCTTAAAACGTTTTTTTTATGATGCTACGGTAATATAATGCGTCAATTGACTTTGACTAATGTACCTCTAAAAGTGAAGTTACCTACTAGAAAATTATTATATGAAATTACTGGAACCAACTATTGTTCATAATATTGATGCTTGTAAATTAATCTCTTATCCTCTGTTGACTTTGACTATTTCATACGATGAAATAGTTACTATAATTACTTTATTTTATCACAGAAACTAAATGTGATACACTCTATTACACTTTAATACAAGGTGTAATAGAGTATAGGACATAAAATGCACTTATGTTTGTTAATCGTTCCAAGACGTTTAGTACTTTTATCGTTATAAAAAGGGTACACTTCCATATCTGTTGGCACAAACAACCGAATGAGTAATATTGATCGATATATCGATTATTCGATATATCGTTTGGTTAGTTAGGTAGGTTATAAATGGCTGGTTAGGCAGTTCACTGACAGTCTTTGCTTGGTAACATGAAGGTTGTTGACTTATGTAGAACCTTCAGGGCAATTCCTGATGTAGTTTTTATGATCAACTAGCTGGCCCGACAGACGTCTTCCTGTCAAATGCTCGTTCATTTTCAAGATGAGCTCGTTCGCATGGCTCAATCACGTCCTGGTTGAAGTTCGTTCGCTACGCTCACTCACCTTTAGGTGATGCTCTTCATAATTATGTTAAATGAACAAAGATTTAAGAAAACAAACGTCATAGGGTATGGTTACAACTATTTATTCAATTCTCTCAAAGAAGGCAAGCCTTTTAAAAGTTACATCTGCTAATCGTATGGCATCCAGGATTATTTCTGCCTGAGCTGCAAAATCTGGCCAAGATTGAGAAAATGTCAATTGGTTTAGGTTCAAGGACGGGGTCAACCAGAACTGTGGGTTCACCAAATGTCATTAGCAAGGAAACACAGGGAAAATACCGATACAAAGGATATACATGTAATGTCCACATCTTTACTTATGACACTTGTTAAAATGGTGATAGTTCTTAGACAAACTGATGAGTAAAAATGATGAAATAGTTGTATTATCTATAAACATTGTTTTCATTTATTGCTGAATTAAAAGACATGAAACGTGTTCGCTCCGCTCAACTGGCTTTCATTGGTTTAAAAACAGTCCTAGTTTCTTCATGACACTCAAGTAACAGATCATTATAAAATTGATGGTGGTCTATAAATATATAACCTGTCATATTTAGAACTGCTGACTTTATTGCTAGTTCAATGGGGTTCATCTATAATATTAAAACGAAACTGTGTTTTTTTATTTCACGATTCTGAATCAACCACTCGACGGATTTTCATGATTTTTGTGTTGAAAGAAAGATAATTTTGAGAACTAGGGAATGTCGAAGCCATAATTTTAGTTTAGGGTCCCGATTTTTTAGAAATTGAATTTTAATTTTTTTAAAGTCTAGCAGCCGACGCTAAGATTTTAAACTAGCTTTTGGCATAAAATAATTTGTTTAACATGCTGTAAACATTCAGCTTTTGTGTCACAAATTCAGCATTTGGATAAGAATGTAAAGACATACTTAGGGTTGACTTATTTATACTATGTGTAATGCTAATCATTGATACGTTCAATTCTTCTGTAAGAGGATGACAGATTAATTAAATATACATAGTAAAATACTAGGATGTTCAAATTATTTTTTAAAGCAATCTTTGTAATATTCGATTTGTTTTAGAGCAATATAATTTGTTTTAACTAACAGCTGGTTAAATATAAACTATGGAACTATGAGGTTATTTTATTTACTCTTATTTTGTCATTGATTATAGAAAATAAGTAAGATTAGTAGGGATAATTAGAACACAGTTTAAAATAGTTAAGACCAAAATTAATTAAACCACAGACAAATCGAGGCTTACACGAGTCTTAATAAAAAGGGATAAATGCAAATTATTTTACTGCTCCACTATTCAAGGAAAGATTAGAAAAATAACAATGTTTATATGTTTTAATTCTTCATGGTAGCTTTTTGTTTACAATTATGTTTGTCTGCTTTAACTTTGTTTGGATTAGGCCCGGAAATATTGATGTCACAAAAAGAAGTTCGAGAATAATCAGGAATCACGATTTTAAATTACCACCACAACCTCAGCAGGGTTTTATACAAAGATAAACACATGGATGACATAGATTGAACACAACGTCAACATTGACCTAGGATACTGCAATTAGACAAACCATCCTTTTATGAAATCGTGTTCAGTTGTGGTTACGTTTGGGGGTGCCTATATCAGCGCCCCCAAACGTGAAAATATCAATTTTATTTTAACTATGACTATATTGTAGTTTAAATTAACTAATATGGGAAATTACGATGTACATTGATTCAATGAGGGTGGGTAATTATCAAGGATAGAACTGATAACGTTATGGATAATAAACATTGACAATTACGTCATTAGCTTTACTAGCGTGTTTACTTTTTATATTCCTACTACATGTGACCAGTTCTTTTTTTTCAAATGAATGTTATTTGAACCAAACAGCTGTTTCAAAACAAACTGTTATTGTTTTTACTTTTCTTTGTTTACACTTATTTATTTAGCAATTAATGCAGTGAAATTGAGGATAGGTGTGACGATTAGTTTTGATGTTAGGACACCAAAGTTAAATTATGTGTACTGTGAATTTTATTGGATATTATCGTTTTATTTTAGGTCGTTTCTATTTAGACCTACTTGGAAATTGTGTATAGTAGTTGTATTGTGGTGATAATAATTAATGAAGAGGCAGGTATGCTATGGAAGGTAGTATCGTTGACTAGGTCTATACACTTCTCAATGGACTATTACTCTCTCTACTGTAGCACAGAAAACATACTACTATTCTGTGACTGTAGGCTACTTATAATCAGTGTGCGTCTGTGCGAATCGGCTGCCTCACTTAAACGCTTTTCACATCGTAAAAATTGCAGAATTGCTGTTTTATTGTAAAATTATCGGATTTAAATTCATATCGTATAGGCCGTATCAGGTATATATGTCAGGTATATATTATGATGGAATAAAACATATATTTGGTCACACAACATTTGTTTACAAGATGATTTTTCACATTAAAACTGCAAGAAACTTTATATGTGTAAACTAGCTGATCTGAATTGTACACGGTTTTAACTGACTACTGAATTCCCGTACGTAGGACAGGCTAACACCTCGTTTAGATAATTATTTATTTCAGGAGGTAAACCTATTATACAACATACACTGTAATTACAATAATGTCAAATAAAAGTAGTAGGATGTTGGGTTTAAATTTAAAGCTAATAGGAGAAAGTGTGAGTTTATTGATAGGCCTACCATACCATTTATTTAAAGTTATAATTTTGTTTGTACTTTTTTTTTCAAAAACCAAAACGGTTACATTACATAATGCAGAATACACCTAAACAAGAATTTCATCTTAATCAGGAAGTTTATTCTGAATGCCAAACATTGGCATACCCTTTAATACCTCGACATAATGTTGAAATTGTGGCCATTCATCTTCTGGTACCATTAGAGCCTGTAGGCAAGATCCGAACCATATGTTTGAAAAGCACTCGTCCCTGGAATCAGATGAAAAATTATGGATAAAGGCATCTGATAAGTAACATTAGTTAACCTATGATTGTAATGTTTTTAGGTCTATTGTACTGGTTTATATATCTTGTGTGATAACTATGATATATTTTATAGTTGACGTTGACCTCCCATGAATATGAAGTTTATACGAGGTTCAATTTTTTAAGTAGTCTTGTGATGAAGGAAGTAGTAAACGCTTGAAGTGCAGTGTGTGGGAACGCTTTAGGGCAGTTAGATAATGTATTAAGTATTAAAATGCTATGGAAACAGGTCCACGACATAGGAAGTGGTGAATGAAGTAGTAAAGGCCAGCAGTGTGGTGTGTGGGAACGCTTTAGGTCAGTTAGATAATGTATTAAGTATTAAAATGCTATGGAAACAGGTCCACGACATAGGAAGTGGTGAATGAAGTAGTAAAGGCCAGTAGTGTGGTGTGTGGGAACCGTCTGTGGCAGTTAGATTAATGTATCTAAAGTATTAAAATTCTATGGAAACAGGTCCACGACATAGGAAGTGGTGAATGTAGTAGTAAAGGCCAGCAGTGTGGTGTGTGGGAACCTTCTGTGGCAGTTAGATTAATGTATCTGCAATCTTAAAAAATAATTTATAAATAAAAAACCTTTTTTAAAACAAAACGTTTTTAAACGCCCTAAAAAGTAGAAAATAATTTATAAATATGTGGAGAGTACAAATACTTGTGATATTTAAAACGAAAAACGTGGGGTGCATGCAATGGATAATTTACAATTACCTTCACCTATTGAACTAATGTATTATTATCAATTGCATGCACCCCACGTTTTTCGTTTTAAATATCACAAGTATTTGTACTTTCCACATATTTATAAATTATTTTCTACTTTTTAGGGCGTTTAAAAATGTTTTGTTAAAAAAAAGGTTTTTTATTTATAAATTATTTTCTACTTTTTAGTTTAAATTTACTATAGTTATAACACTATGTACTATAATATACTATAATACTATAATAATAGTTAAATAAATTTAACTATAGTTTTTTATGGAATTTCTCTGCAATGCATTCACTCGAAATATTTATTGTTTACTTTATAGAATACTAAATAAACAAAAATTGACATTATTTACAAACACCTTGATACCTGCAATCAGATTGTTTATCTTTATTTTGAAATGTTTGTTTGTATAAAGAATCTCTTGGGAGCATAACCTGTACCTCTTAACCTCTGCTCTTCGAACTGTCAAATTTAAGTATTTACAGCTGACTTAAATTAGTTGATATATTTACATCCTTTCAAAATGTAAACATGAAAAATTTGGAAGCCCATGGGGCGTAACCCAAGGGAAATATGAAAATTAAATGATATAATATTTCATTGTCATGCATTTGTGAGCTATGTTTAAAATTTCAAGTCTCTAGCTTATCGGGAACATCGTTTAAAATTTA